AACCTCTTTCCTGACAGGATAATGTGAGCTTTATATCATAGTGATGTGATATTTATGACTTGTAACCGGATGAAAACCACTATGCTACAGGGAGTGCACAAAATATGAAATCCCTTATCGGACTGTCATGTTAAATGTTTGCCTTACAACAGTTAACTGCCCATATGAGCGCTGAAGCAGGTTTTGCTTCCTGTTATCATCACTCCTGTTAAAGTAGCCCTGACAAGATCCCTTCCTAATGTGCTTACAATGTAAAGGACAAATCCACAGTCCTCATTTTGTGCAAAAATGGGTCCTGGAGTTTGTCTGAAGTTCATCAGTTAGAGTTAAACTAATCAAGAGAGGATCTTCCAAGGTTTCTGAGTTATTACTGCAAAGTTTCTTCTGCAGCTCATTAACAAATTCTCCCCGGGATAAACACAAGGAAGAATTATGTACTAAAAACTTTAGAGGTAGCCGCTTGATATTAAAAGTCAGACTGCTGAATCCTCATATTGAATTCTCATAAACGTTTAATACGTTTTTACCAGACTGAGGATCGCAGTGCATTAGAAAGGGATTTCTCAACGAACAGCAAAAATTGTTCTAATGTTTATTTGAATGTTTTAAGACAGGCATGAACATGTGTGACCCTGCCATTCATATGATATATTAGTTTCTCTCTTATAGCAAAGATCTGTGAGAAAACTTGCTTTGCGTTGTTTTTTGGAAATTTAGACATTGTGGATAAAATGAAAAAATAAAGCACAATAACACTAAATGATGACAGTCCAGTAAAAAAAAAAAAGAAAAGAATGTATCCTTCCTGTGGACTGTGTTTGAGGTTACGCCCTCTGTGCAGCTTCAGGGATAACAGAGCACTGGCATCAGGAAATCTAGATAACATTGTTTCAGTCTCACCTTCACTTACCAACACAAAAGTGGCTGGAATAACTGGTTCTCCTTTGACCATGTCTATATTTGTCAGTTTTACTTCCCTTTTTTCATGTCAAGTCAAATGTTATTTAAATAACCCCATATCACTTATGTATCAGACTGCACGTGATGTCTTCAATTTGGTGACCGTGATACTGATTTCATCCGCTGTTGTACGAACGGACCCATCCATTATCTGTACCGCTTATTCCTGAAGAGGGTCGCGGGGGGGGCTGGAGCCAATCCCAGCTGACACTGGACGAGAAGCGGGGTCCACCCTGGACAAGTCGGCAGTCTATCACAGGGCTGATATGTGGACGAACAACCACACACACTCACACACTACAGGCAATTTAGAGTTGCCAGTCAACCTAAGCTGCATGTCTCTGGACTGTGGGAGGAAGTCGGGGTACATGGAGAGAACCCATGCAGGTTACTAAAGGATCTTTTAAATTAATATTACAAAGCCCCTCAGTACAAAATCTAGATTCTATGAATTTGCACTGGAGGGTTCATGTTTCCACAGTATATTTTAGTGGAAAATGACTGGGTTTCAAAGGAGTTGCGATGTGACAAAATCCTGCTTAAGGTGAACCCGAGAAACTTTGTGCCATCCATCCATCCATCCATTTTCCTCTGCTTATCTGGAACCAGGTCGCGGGGGCAGCAGTCTAAGCAAAGATGCCCAGACTTCCCTTTCTCCAGACACTTCCTCCAGCTCCTCCGGGGGAATGCCAAGGCGTTCCCAGGCCAGCCGAGAGACATAGTCCCTCCAGCGTGTCCTGGGTCTTCCCCGGGGCCTCAACTTTATCCCTTCACCAGATAATTTCACAAATGTTTTCTAGTGTCAAAAACATCATTGTTTTGAGTGGAGGGGGACATAAGGTTTACTCATCTCTTTCTGTATCAGTCTGTCCTTCAATAGTAATATTTTTCAACATTTAAGGGGTATTCTATGATCCGTTTTGAAGAATGTATTTACATGTATCATTTGAGATATAAATTGGAAAAAAAAAAACAATTTCTTGACTTTTTATTTTGTTACCAGTGTTAAAAGAAATATTACCTGTGGAAAAAAAACAGACAAAAATATTCAACATCTTCTTTTATTGCTTTAGAAACAATGAAATGTGAAAAAAAAAAAATCCAGTGTGGTCCCTTATGGCAGCAGTTAACGTACAAAGGGCTCTAACTCAGTTTAATGTTTATAATGTTCATTCTGGTCAAGTATCCATCTGGTCTGAGGAGCAGAAATGCACATTTGGAAAAGTAGAGCAAGTTTTTTTTTTAGATTTCCTGAAAAAGGAAAATGAATCAAACACAGCCCTTTTCACAATAAAGGTCTGTCCACATATTAGATATAATTAATTTTTTACAATGTTAAGTTGAAAAGCTCAGCAGTCGCTCACATGTCAGCAAGTAAAGAAAATGTACGTCCCCCCTGTCTCTGTTATCTCAGGGGTGAGATCTCTGCCTCGGCCAAGAACATCTTTCATCTTTACTTGCTGATTTCACCTTTCACTTCGCAAAACAGACCTTGGGCTCAGGTTAAAGGGTCAGGCTGTTTGTGCGGTGATCTCCACTGGTTCCAGTTTATCAGACAGGACACAAAGAATCTTGTCAAACTTCTCGTAGCGCTCTTTTCTGTTGGCCCCTGCCCCCGACCGACCCCAGAACAACCTCAGGGCAAACTCGGTCTTGAAAATCTCCAGCAGCTCAGGGACAGGCTCCCAGCCTTCTAAAGAAACAATGAAACAAACATTTCATCACATCAGTTTCCAGATATGATGTAATTTCACATCAGTTTCACAGTGTACACTGTATATTTTTCTACTTTTTTTTCTTACTTAAAATGGGCCTCATGCAAGATCCAGTATGAGTAGATTTCTTTGTAAGCGGCATGTACGAATGATTTAAGAGAATTTGTTGCATTCACTGATTTTGTCTTCGGTATAAAAACTCATGAGTGGTAAGACCTGGTTGAAACATGCAATTTGTGCAGTTAAGGGAGTTTGGCGAATCCATTTGGAGACATTCATATAAACAAAGGTACGATATTTAGGATACAAGTACAGTGATATTCATGCAGGAGGTCCATTGTCTGTAACTGTGCCTATGAAAGGAGATCACTGTACATGCATGTGTTTACCTGTGAGCAGAGCGTGTGCATGCTTCTGATAATCTTGGGCATGAAGTGCAGCACTGCGAGCTGATTGGAGGACGTCATAGAGAAGCTGACAGCCTCGCTCACTGTTCTCCACCGGGTCCTCACCCTCCATCGCCATCAGCAGTGGAACCAGGTGTGGCACAGCTATAGGACCCTGGACTACAGAGTCTACTCGAAAATATATGAACGCATACAGTTACACATTGAAGTCTGTTTACAGGTTCTTTGTAATGTAATGTGTTGTAAAGACCACCACTCACCGTCTCCCTCGTTCAGCGACTTCATGAAGGGTTTGAGTTTCTTTTCAAATAAAACCGCGCTCTCTGTGTGGTTCCTCCTCAGTGCACGCCACGTCATCTCCAGTCGCATTATCTGCACATACAAATATACGTGTAAGAGAACTGCAACCGGTTTCCACTTTTGCATAGAGTGAAACATTTTGTTGTAATTAAACCACCTGAGGCATCTCCAGCGCCTTCATCACAGCCGAGAAGGAGTAGAGGTTGTGGGCATGTTCTTTCAAGGCCTGAGCCAATAAGATACATTTGTGTAGGACGGCCGCCCTCTGGCTCACAGTCCCTGTGCAGCCAAGGATGTCCACTGCGGCTCCCAGTGCTATTAGATGATGCCTAAAAATGAAAGATTAATAGATTAGAGGTGTGTGAGTGGGCAGAAGACTGAACAAGGCAGTTGTTGAGTATTCTCTTGTCTCAATATTTGCACCGAGCCACCCAACAGAACTGACCTCAGCCCAGATCAGATATACTGTAGTTACTCCAACTGGGCCATTGTCAAAACCACAACAAGAAACTCAGGAGGATCTTCAACAAACAGCACATCCCTGTGAATTTCAATCCCAACAACACGGCGACAAGGGACCAAACACCTAGACATAAGCAGAGCAATGAAGCATATGCAGTTCAGTTGAGTGAGGAATGCCAAGACTTGTATACTGGAGAAGCAAAACAACTGCTTTCCAAGCGCATGGCACAACACAGGACAGCCAACTCCTCAGGACAAGACTCAGCAGCATCTGCATCAGAAGGATGAGGGTCGGCCCTCTGAAGACAACAATGTCCACAGTGGTTTGAAAGAGGAGTGAAATGAGCCACCTACATCAAACTGGAACAACCATATCTAACCAGAGGGGGTGGTCCTGTAATCCCTCCCCAAGCAGTTTAACACCCATTCAGATATTGATGCATGAGACCCTCACAACCTGCATGATGGCCAGGTGTGACGTGACTTTTACGGCCCTCCAGGTGTCAACTCCACAGACGTTACTGTAAATACCTGGGACTTCTCACCAGTCAGAGCTAAAGAAGCTTCTCAAATGAGAGGTGAATATCTGGGTAGTCTACAGAACTACTTTTTTACCAAAGAAACGGTCCCTTTGAAAACTGTGTATCATCCCCAGGCATCCACATTTACTCATCCACTTGTGAAGTGTGCCAGTTAGATCTACCTTTCTAACAAATCCTGTCGTAACTGACGTCCATGTGGCAAAGTCACGAGCTCCAGCCCTGAGCCCACTCCCATGAGCCTCTTCTGCTCATCTGTCACCCCAACAATGCGCGCTACCTGCAGTAGAACAATGACAAATCAACAGCCAGTCGAGTCTTACATACTCTCCAGAGAACCAGGGCCCATATTTATCAGACTGCATAAAGTAAAATTTTGGTCCCACACTTTTACTTGCAAACATGAGAATACAAATTTTTATCGCATAACCCAAGTCTGAGACATATTGTACAGTGATTGTGATTATGATGACCAATATGTTAGCAAAGCATTATGAATCATTCAGAATAAGGTCATTTTAGCCTTTTGTCTGCATTTGATTTGAACATTTGTTCAAATATAGCCTTGCATTTATCAGGTCTGCAAACAGCAGCAATATATGAATTGAGTCTGAAGATCTACTTGACTAAGCTAGAGGATACCTGGCAGTCAACACTGAGCATGTGCAGAGCAATCGTGCTGGCATCAGAGCGGCTGAAGAGCTCTTTGACTGCTTTGAGGACACTGGGCTCCAGAGGTCGGTTGTTCTCCGGTAAGAGCAGAGACTCAAACCCATCCAACTGGAAACACGACTCTGACTCAATCTGTAATGGTGTCAGAAAGATTTTACATTAGTACACAACTGTCACCAAACCTACTTCATAACATTGTTAAATATTTTGGCCAACATAACAGACAGCTGTTACAAACTATCACCTACAGTACAACTCTGACACCTGGTGGCACAAGTCAGTCATTGTGGATAGTGGGTAGAGGACAGGCACATACAGCAGATTGTAACCTTTAACAAAAGCCAAGGTCCATCTAGACGTAACCTTAGGAGCATGGAAAGTTTCTTTTAATGTTGCTGTGGTTGAAGATCTATAGTGTAGATCAGAATATAAGCATTATCAACATTTCAGTCCTGATCAGTTTCTCTTAGCTGATGTTTGTACAAAGCTTTAATTAATTGATTAGTAGCTATTATCTTAAAAATTAAAGGTTTAACCATTTTTGAAAATTTGTGTAACAATCACCATCTTACAAATTGAAGAATAATTTGGGATAAGAGCCAAATCCCTGCTCATTATCTCACAGAAAGACCACATACAGTAAGTACTGTTGCATGGTTTATCTTATTTTCTATACATCACTCAAGTCTGCATCACACTGGTATGGCCCTTGACCTCCATATCTACTTAGAACAGAAGCAAATGTCAAAACTACATAGTGTAAATTTCATATCATTTATACAAACATGTGGCCATTCGAAATGCCAGTCTTCCACTTTCTCCACCACCTTCCCCTGCAGCTCTTTGTAAAACAGCAGCTGTGGTGATAGGTTGTTCTTCTGGGCCTCCAGGAAGCCAAAGGACGTCTCTGTGATGCGGGCACGGCTCTGCCACTTCTCCTCTGCACGCAATCTGTCCACGTGGCCCTTCCGCCGCATCTGTGGCACCTGGACACAACGATATGTAGATAGTCTGTAAGACCATCATCAGCTCCCCAAAACATCACCAGCTGAGGGGTGGTGCCGCACAGCAGGAAGGTTCCAGGTGCGAGCCTCATGGCCGACCCGGGGCCTTTCTGCTCTGGCTTCCTCCCGCAGTCTGAAGACATGCAGGTTAGGTCGACTGGAGACAAATTTGCCCATAGGTGTGAATGTGACTGTGAGTGGTGGTGTGTCTCTGGTTGTAAATGGTCTTATACTGGTATAGCACTTTTCTATGCATTGCAACACACTCAAAGTGCTTTCACACTGTTTGGCCATTCGCACTCACACAAACATGCACCGGTGTCATCACCAGGAGCAACTGTGTCTTGCTCAAAGACACTTCGACATAGGGACTGGACAAGCCGGGAATCAAACCACTAATCTTCCGGTTAGGAGACGACCCGTTCTACCTCCTTCAGTCCTGTGCTGGCCTAGCAACCGCCCCCCCCCCCATGATTGGTTATAATTGGTATAGCTAATGGGTGGATAGATGATCATTTGAGCTGTGAGTGAATTGTAGATGTTTTTTCACCTGGATAACTAGCTCATGGTACAAAGAGGAGGGATCTTCATCCAAGTCTTTGGGTGGAGGAGGGGTGGCGCTGGGGAAAACAGCAGAGATCCTCAGAGGTTTAGGCGGAGCTCTGGAGTGCAGCTGCCCATCTGAATTTCGCAAAGTCACATCACCACCTGCAGGCACAGACGGTGAAGTTATGAATCTTAAATGGAAAGAAACTGCATGTGTGCTGTAGGTGTGTTACCTGGATGGCAGAGGCGTGCGTGTCGTGGTTGTGGGCTCAGCAGTGGTTCGCTGCCTGTGCGAAACACAGGAGAAATTGGGGCAGGGCTGGTGTCCTGGGTCGGAGTGTTCTGAGGAACACCTAGATGAAGAAGAGTAATGGCAGCAAAATGAAAAATGAACCACTCAGTGGTATAAGACTCCCAGTCACTGCTCATATTAAGCTCAAGTCTGTAATGTTTGCCTGTTATATCTAAACTGATAATGGAATTTTGAAGCCACGACTGAAATCAGTATCTGGGATAAGAGATCTGGTGTAATGGTGTTTTACAGTGTCAAAACTAGGTGTCTACATTGCCCACAAAAAATTTTATTTTTTAATTTGTCTTATACAAAAAAGTTTTTTTCTGTATTTTTCTGAATACTGTATATTAGCAGAAGCAAAACCGTAGCATTCCTTCACTTGCATCACAGACTAGTTTTGGTGTACTGTATGTGCACAACAGAGCCTGAACACAACACGACTGATCTAGTGATCATTACGAGGTCACAGAGACAGAAACAGGTTACAGGCTGCATTTTTATAATAACATACCAGTTCGTATGTTGCTGTCAGACTGTGCAGACTGAAGTGATGGCCTCCATCCCACATTGTCCAAGTTAGCAGGCTGACTCCCAGTCCTGCCACACAAATTAATGCTCATGTTTATTTGTATTTGTTTGACCACATGCAGTGTTTCAAAACTATACATGTGTATGTGACTACACTGCATTTCACCGGGTTTCCTCTCACCTTAGCAATGGGTTAACAACCTGCACTGTGTCTGTGTGCGTCGAGCTGAAGCTGCGTCTTTTGTTGGATTCAGTGTGTTTTTCTTGTCCTGCACCTGTGCTGATGCTGCTGCTGCTACTTTTGGGCTCCGCATGTCGCTCAGTGATGACACGAAGAGGAAGTTTCCGTGTGATTGGGTGAAAGATCACAGCGCCTGAGCCCTGGGAGATGGGCTGACGCCCACCCACGTAGAATCGGATCAGAGCAGGAACACTGTCAAAGCGATCCTCCTCAAACTGGAACAGCTCCCGAGTGTAGCCCTGTCACACAGATGGAGATACGTAATATATCAAGCAAAGCTTTTTAAAGGTCTGTGTTTTCATTAATGAGGTGGCTATTGTATTTAGCAGCTTAGCAGAGCAGCTTGGATTCACAGCAGTTAAGAGTAAGGATGCAGATTCACAGTAAAAGTAAAGAAGAGCATCAAAAAGTCTATAAATAATTCTAAAACCGCTCATGGAGCATAATCCACCTCTCCACTATTGATCAGTAAATACTTCTGCCAGTCTCAGAGCTATGAGGGGGCAGCAGTGCAACATAAAAACTGTGTCATGTGACTGTGAGTGTTTGGAAGACCCTGAACATATAGATCAGTAGTAGAGAGCTAGATTAGGAACTTCTGATAATTTGTTTTGTATTTTACATTAACAGATAACAGGATCAGCAGCAGATCACCAAAACTGTGTTTAAATGTTATCAGAGTTTAATACACTTATACATTCTAATGAAAACTAAGCACAAGGAATCCTGGCTCATATCTGCTGACTGCTAATATTGAGGTGAAAATTGGTGGCGTTGTCAAATAGCGCAACATTATTTTCAGAGATGTTTTGAATATTTTGAGCACATTTATAATCAGCAAATGTCAAATATGTCAATCAAATGTAACCTTAAATTAGCTTAAACGTCTTTTAATTATTGAATAATAATTTTTTTTTGATGATTTGAGTATTTTAGTCTATAAAATGGAGCAAAATGGAGAAAATTACCAATGGCCAGTTCCCAAGCATTTTAAAATTGCTTGTTTTGTGCATCCAACACTCAAAAATGCAAAGAGATTTAGTTAACAATAAAATAAAACAGAGCAAAACAAACAATCGTCACATTTAAGAAGCTGGAACCAGTGAAGATTTTGCATTGTTGCTTAAAAAAATGATTTTAATATCCCCAACTTGCTGCATATGGACATGACATAGACACACCTTTTTGGGACGAAGGACCACCCGTATAATCTTAAAATGCAGGGGCCCATTCTTCCAAAAGCAGCTCAAAACATAGTCACCAGGGGCAGAGCTGGAGTCTCGGACCAGGAAGTCTCCATCCTTCTCAAGCAAAGACTCTGCAGCCTGGAGACAAGTCAGTAGGCTAACTTGATTAACTAGGCACAGAGGTTCACATGTATGTTAGGATTATTGTGTATATATTACTTGTAAGTTTGTTAAAGCTATAGTTTGACGTTTAAAAAATTATGATTATTTATGTTCTTGCAGAGAGTTAGTCAGGAAGATCAATACCACTCTCATGTCTGTATGGTAAATATGCTCAGTTGCCAGTTTATTAGGTACATCTAATTGGATCTCTTTGAAAATAAAGTTCAGTAACATCACAAACAAGTATATTTCTCAATTAGCAATCCTTTTATTTGTGTGTGTGTGTGTGTGTGTGTGTGTGTGTGTGTAAATGTTTTGTTAAGCATAAATACAGAGAGAACAGTATGGTCCATTGAGCACCTCTCGGCTCGTCGGTCCATGGTACCATGGATGGCTCCTCAGGTCATCAGGGCTGAGTTTCAGTTCTTCCTCCAGCTCCTTCTTCAGTGAGTCCATCTCTCTCCGACCACCAAACACCTACAACACAGACAGCCGAGCAGACACCATAACTACTCTGCATGTATTCTTTTCTCATATTTTGAGAGACTAATAGAGAGCTAGTGAGAGACAAAGAGGTCATTTGCTTAACCTCTTACCTTCAGCTGGCTGAGGTATGAGCTGACAGTCCTCCTCTTACTAGAAAACAAGGGAGGAGAGATGATTTGGTGCAACTAAGCTAAACCCTGTTTGCTCCATGTTTTTCCTCTGAACATGAAGAGTACAAGGATGGAAGGTCACTGCCAAGGTCTGGGCTTGTCATTAACGCCAAAGAAACTTGGCGACTTTTAATAGCTTGCCTCTTTTCCCCACTTCCTTCCTCCCTAACCTTCCACCTTCCTGCCTCTGTAGACACAAGGATCACAAATGAACAGCTTAGAAGACTTCCAACAGGGCTGAACCAGATAACTCTCCATGATTATATGGACTACTGCCCATTGTAGCAAATTTACATCTGTGCCTGCTTTTCTGTGTGAACATGCATAAACAATGTGGAACAAATCATGTGTTCAGGGATGTGCTGGGGTTGCTTGTTTTCCCCTCTTTGACCCTGAATATAACTATTAACATCCATTGAAACAAAAATAATACACACATTTTTGCACTTCTGTTTAAACTATGTTGTCAATTCATGTGGTAAATGTAGCATAACACTGACTTAGTCTATAATAAAAGATCATAAAGGAGCTGTTGGTCCAGTTCCTGGCCCAGCAGAATACAATTTGGGTGGGACAAACGTAAAAGCAGCGCTTGACCCTTCCTCATCAGTGACACTGTGGGGCTTCGTAACCAGGCCTCATTATTACATCAACAGGGCTGTAACAAGGATTTAGAAACACTGATGTCAGGAGTGGAAGTCCAAAACCACCCTGAGACACCAAAACAAAAGTCTGGAAATTGAAGGTCTAAATGTTAGAGAAGTGAGCTGGTGACCAGAAGGCTGTTGGTCCAGTTCCTGGCCCAGCGGAATACAATTTGGGTGGGACAAACGTAAAAGCAGCGCTTGACCCTTCCTCATCAGTGACACTGTGGGGCCCCTGAGTATGGCCTTTAACCCCACCTCCTCCAGCCGAGCTGCTCACTGACCAGTAAATCAGACTGTGATTGTACTGGGCAGCTTTCAGAAAAGGAGTCTATAAATAAAATGTAATATTATTGTTATTACTGTGTATAATAGTGCATCATACTGTATTATACTAACATTTGTCTTTAATAGTTAGTTGAACCTAACCTATATATTGTAAAATAGACCTATACAATACACTTCAATACCAGAAAACAAACAAATAACAACAACAAAAAATAAAACAGGATGCAAAAAGGATGCAAAATGACAATAACATTGAGTTCTTTAAATAGTTTCAACAAAACCTCAATATAACCTTTATAAAGGAACTGAAGGTTTGTTAGGTTTACCTACAACAGGTGGACCTTATAAAATGGCTACTATGCAGCTGTAGCCTAACCTATTTACAAAGACTTTATCAGACAAACACATAAACAGACTGGCATCCAGATGTTTAGGTGTTTTATGGAATAAGAGGTGCAGCATCCTGTTTGAGGGGCGTTGGCCCAGGCCGCACACCACCAACACCTGTGCAATGGGCTGCAGCCACTATTGTGAAATGCGACCTGAAACTACTGATTCAGCGTCACCATCCTACTGATAGCTTATTTATCTGAGTGAGTTTAATCCGATTAATGAAAACCTCAAAGCTAATATAGTGCGACGTTGTTTAATAACTTTGATTTGGTTTGTTCTGATTCTAAACATCTTCACGGTCAAATCTCAAAATTGTGCAACAGGTAAGTTAGTTGGCAACGCTAGAAACAACAAGGACCAAAGTAACTGTCGACGTATCTGATCTTACAAGACTAAAGAGAGAGTTTGACAGTTTGATTATATGTCAAATCCGTGTTCATCAAAAGTTAGATCAACCGTCTAACATCTCGCGTGAACTGACGAAGTTTGTTCGTTGTTTAAAAACGATGTTATGGCAGCGGCCACAGACCTACCTGTCTGTGCACTTCACAGCTTCCTCGTCGCGGACATGTTTTACGGTTTGTGGTCCAAAGTCAAGCGCTGCCAAACAACAACTGGGACAATCCCGAAGTCCTTCTCCGCTCCTGGCGGATCCCTCCCAGTGCCCCTGTCCTCTCGCCCTCCTCCGTTCACACGTAGTTTCGGACGAGTTCCAACAAGTTCTCCCTCCCGAGCTGCCCTCCTCCTCCTCCTCCTCCTCCTCCCGCCCCAGGCCCCGGTGCTGAAACACCGCTATCTATCTGACATTCCTGAGATACCGACACAAAGCTGAGCTGGTACATCACCTGGCTGCAGCTGGGATTAATGCGGTAGGCGGCGGTAAGACGATAGAGCCCACACGTCTTTTGAAACTGTGACATGTCGATGTACGGAAGAGTATTAGGGCCACTGCATAAATTTTTTTTTAATTAGGGCCACTGCATAATTTTTTTATTTTTAAATTCTGACTTTATTCTCAGAATTCTGACTTTAAACTCAGAATTCTGACTTTATTCTCAGAATTCTGACTTTACAGCTGAGAATAAAGTCAGAATTCTGAGAATAAAGTCTGAGAATTTTAATAAAAATTTATGCAGTGGCCCTAATACTCTTCCGTATTCGATGTGACTCCTACACACAAAATGAAAATTATTGCCCATTAATCTCATATTTGTTAGAAATTTGCCCCATTGTGTACACCACTTCTATCAGGTCCCCTGTATACTCCCTCTGCCCTGGTCTTTTAGTGGGATCCTGTGCCAAAATCTATAGTTTTAAGATGTTTTTTGTATTTATATGTTGTAAAGTGCTGAATAATATTGCTTTAGCTTTTCTTTGTGTAAGGCAGACCTTGGATAAGATATACAAGTATTTCATTATAGGGGAACTGTAGGGCTGCAACCAAAGATTATTTTAATTACCAATATATATAACATTTTTTCAAAGGTGCATTAACTAAGATTTTACACATCTGATAAATCAGATGAAAATGGAACAGGAAGTGTCTCAGCCATTCTGTTAGTCCAGCTTCTCTGCCCTGTTTTGTCAAAATAGGGTTCATGAATTTGCCCCTCCTGCCACCTAGTGACTAGTGAAGGTTATAAGAAGGGTTTTTCAAACTGCCAGTATTCATTTCACACATCCAGCCATGAAGGACCACTCCTCTGATAAAAGCTGCTAGACCAAAGAAGGTATGTTTTTTTACACTGAGACAGTGAAAGGGCAAAAACCAGGGTTAATATCTGTTTGGCTTTTTGAGATGGAGAGCGATAAAAGTAACCAAAGGGCTCAAATGTGGTTCAGATGTGGTGTTCTTCCTTCCGGATGCATTAGTACCTAACGCTCACATGGTTGGCTTTGTTGTAACATTAGAGACTTAGCAAGGTCATGATTTTACCTTAGTATTGAATTAATATGCTTTTGGGAGTAATTAGAGCTTTATGTAATGTTAGTTAAGTCCTAGATCATTAATCCAGGCAAGAGTCACAAAAGATTTACCTGTTAGTCTATAATAGTCACATATTTTTGTAATTAATCTTTAAATAATAAGTTACAATTTTGAAATAGTTGTCTCCCACGTACACTCGTTTAAAGAAGTGCTAGTACCTTGGATTTTGGGACAGCACTTTAATATTTACTGTATGTGATGCCATCACTTTTGTACTTTTAAGTAACATTTTGAATGTAGGACTTTTACTTATAACAGAGTATTTTTACTCTGTTGTATTGCTACTTTTACTTAAGTAAGGGATCTGAGTACTTCTTCCACCACTGTCTGTGGCCCTGGTATTTTGTATAATGTTTGTGGGTAGGTGTGTTAATAAGGATACACTGCAGCAAGAAGCTTTAGAAAGACGTTAGAGAGCCTGTCTTTGTCTCAGCGTTAGTGAAATACAGACGTTCAAGTGCAGTTTTCCTCCAAGAGCAGCACTTCACAGTTACAGTTGAATTTGGGGTTTTCTGTTAAACACATTGGAGGAGCCCTTTATGTGTCCATGATCACTGTTAATGCTTTTACGGGGGCTATTTCTTCATCCAAAACTGTCTGCATGGTTTAATAGCACTGGGGCAAGGTGACAATGAACATGTCTTTTTGTAATGTCGGTGGATAGCCCTTGAACATAATCCACATTTGACCTTCCCTTAAACTTCTGACCTTAACAAATAAGAAACACTACAGAGGCTTTTGTCATTACCTTGACCTCTCACTGGGGGAGTGTCACCAAAATATCAAAGTCCTGAGGTGTGTTGTTTATTTAAGCGGGTGTTCAGACTGAGTGTGTCACCAAAAGCCGCAGTTTTCCACATTGGTGAAAGTGAAGAGAAACATCAGGTTGTTATTTAATGTCCATTAAGGCTTTTTAATCATGTTGTCGGTTTAATATATTATATATTGATAGATGACTGATTGTAGAGTTCATTTAATATTACACGACAAACTCTGACATAGATTTTATGAGACATTGGTTAATTATTAGCCAAACATGAGGAGGCAGGCTAAAGGAAGTTGCTCTCTCTCTCTCACACACACACACAAGCGTCAATCGCACTTATTTCACACAGCACCCAGTTTGGGCGCCTACCTGCGCTTGCTGTCCTGGCAGCGGTCCGTCTCACTGACAACGTTGTCTTCATTCAGGGGACGGAGCTGCGAGCAGGAGGCAGAGAGGCGGTGTTTTTTGTCCTCACGCTGGAGACGGGGCAGGACGCTCTGGCGAAACAGATCCTTTTCTGGCTTCACCTGCTGGAAATGGTAGAAAGCCAAATAGAGTGGCTCCTGGAGCTACTGTTTGCACAGCCTTATTGAAAAAGGACTAGAAGTGTTACAAGTGACAAATCATTTTTGCGGTCTTACTAGATCCATAGATGATCCCAGGGAGTGCTTTCGACTCGCCCTGCGTTCCATGACCTGCACACCCGAGAGGACAAGAGTAACTTTTAAAGCAGTAGTTTGACATCTTGGAAACAATATCCATCCATCCATCCATTATCTATGCCGCTTATTCCTGAATAGGGTCACGGGGGAAAATATCATATTTACATTCATTCTTAAAGATAGTTAAAGAAAAGAAGATCCATGCCATGTTCACTTTTGTCCATTAGATAGGAAGCTGAAACCAACTAAATACAACATGCTAGTGAGCGTTAAAGGGTCTGGTTGGCATAATGTGTTACTGTACCTTTGCATAGAGCCAGGCTAATTGTTTGCCACTATGTTCAGACACAAAGCTAATTGGTGTACTTCCCAAAAGCTATGCTTTAATTGAAGTGCATGGACACACAAACTGTTGGGCAAGGCGCCATTTAACTTGTGACACTGTCATTAATTCAGGCCTACTCTTTAGATTTTCACATTCAGCTTCTTTAAATTATACAACACGAGAACAAGCCAACAAACACCCCCAGTAAACAAAGGTTTGACTTGATAAACCGGCTTGTCACACTGAGCATGAACCATTTGAACAGATGCTGCTCTCTGCAAGCTCAAACAATTGGTGGAGGTGCATGTGCTCTCTCAGTGCTCATGTATGCATTAAAATGAAGAGACATTTTAAAAATTATTAACACTATGCAACATATAAGCACAAAACTCACATTTTGAAGTTCTTAAAACCAGAGACCAAGTTCAAAAAAGGCCTCAAAGCTGAATGCACCATAAAGCCCTTTTCAGCTGATGTTGTGCTTTAGTGCTGCATATTTTTATCTTAACACAAACAAACAGTAGGACTAGAGCTTTCAGGGCCCCTGATGTTCTGGGGCCCAGGTGTTGGCTTGGTGGCTAATTCAGCCTTGGATGAGATACTAAATACTTTGACTCCGCTTGATAAACTAGTCAGCAACAGTTGGATGTTGAATTTTTTTCCCACAGCCCTAGTGTGCATGTGCATTTGGCTGGTGAGCGTCACCAGAGCGTGGGTCCTGTCTTTCTCGGTATCTTGAAAGCTGAGTGAGGATGGTTTCTCTGTGTGTTGCATCCTCTATGCCAATATCCTTCAGCTCGCCATCTGTGACATTTAGCAAACCCTGCCGAGAAACCACAACAGGGAGAGCGAGAAGGAACTGAGGACTGGAAATACTGAAGCTCAGAACAAAATAAAGTAGAACTTACCAACAAACACAACCTGATGCAGCTCATTCACTTACCTCCAGACCATAACACTCACTCTCTAGTGTCTTGGTGTACTAGGGCAGGCTGATCTGCCTCAGCCACCAGGCGATGGAGCGATTATTCATGTCTCAACAGCAAAAGAAGAAGAGATACTGACTACATGCCAGTACACATGCACTCATGCATGCATGCTTGTACATGTTTTTTGTGCACAAGTTTTTGACAAAAATACAAATGAAAGAATAGTGTGACATTAGCTTACTTTGAGAAATTAGCCAAACAAACACACAAGCAGTTGTACAACACCTACCTGTTTACAGGGTCCACTAAAGAACGCTGGGATTTTACTCCTCTTTTTCTCCTTGTGATTTTTTTTTTTACTATCTCATAATATCTTTTTCTTTTCGTGCTTTCCCTCTGTTTTCTTTCATTGTTTGCAGCTGCTCTCACCTCTAAGTCATATCCTGTGTCAATAAGGCAGTTTCTCACTTTGTCTTTGTTGTAATGGTGGAAGCCCGCTCCCCCTTAAATCTGCAGGGTCACTCAAAAAGCCAATCAGATTGTGCAGTGGACTCAAAGAACCCTGCACCAAACAGCAAATCACAGTGCAGAATTTAAAATGAGCTCTCAGGAGGTGGAGAGCGCGGGTTGAAGCATGTTGTGAGAGAAGGGTAGTGTTTAAAAAATCTAGGGGGAGGGGGGGGTGAAAGTGTCAGCGTGTCAAGTCTGAGATAGGCGTGCACGCACAGTGGTGTGTCTTCCAACCTGTCTGTCTCTGTAGTGTACAGGTAACATGGTGATGTGCGTAAGAGTGACCCCTAGTGTTGAAGTAAAAAAAAATGGCACTGTCCATTATGAGGACTACTTGCTTGGCCTGTGTTAAGTTCTGTTAGTCTTCTCTGAGTGTGGAGGATGTTAGCAAAGTCTGTATTTATTAGTATGGTGTATTAATGTAGGATTGAGTGTGTTTGGAACTTGATGTATTTGTTGGACTAAAAGTCAGAATATTTCAGTCTCCACTGGTTTCAGTTTTGATTCTTCTTTTTTAAATTTGTATCTTGCAAATCCACCAGCTTTACTCTGTGTTTCAAGACACCGTCCTTAATCTGGAAGGGTGATGGGTGAAAGTCAGGACATCATTTCTCTCAGGCCATAGCTGAGTATAATGTGTTTTGTTTGTGGACTGTCATGTATAATTTCACTTGTCACTCTGTGCTGATGTCATGATGTTTTCTTGATTGGATCCCTTACCTAGTATTTGAAATGTTATGCTTCAGTGGAACAATATCAGCACAGCCTTTGTTCTTTCAAATAATCATATTGTATTTTATCGATATATAGAGCTTCTAACTTATTCATGTGAAGTATTTTTAGACAACTTGTTATTTTGGTAGAATTGTTTGCTCTGGACATTCACTGATAAAACTGTTACATTAGTATGGATTCTTGAATAAGAAAAAAACAACTTACTTAATAATAATGAAGATCTTGAACATCTGTATGCAAAGCTAAATGCTGATGGATGTGTCCACTCTCTTCTGTCTCACCATCACTATATGATGACTGAAGTCACTAAAGGTTTCGATTAAGGCTGCTGTGGTAGGCATTGAGTCAGTTCACTGACTTCATGAATCTGCATGTTACACCATGTTTTCTACCACCATGTGGTCACAGTGGTTACAGAGACCACTTATAACCCCATCAATACCTCAAACAAAAATGTGTTTTCTTGCTTATCCTGGCAGACATGCAGAGGCATGCAGGTAGTTTAGGTGTTGTGTGCAGAAGGTTTGAAACCTCTGCCAATAAATACAGTGGAGGTGAATAGATGTCAATAAGTTGTAATCAAAACATTCAGAAATAGGTTTAAAAAACGTAAAATGTAAATGTAAAAGCACACACACAGACTCACACTGTGATGTCTATGGGTTATCCTCAGTAACTGGGTCATTGTTTATGGATAAATGTGTTTATCAAAAGACTTTATTGATGCTTTAGCCAGCACATATTAAATAGCATTCACTGTTGTGTTTGGGCTGCAGCAGAAAGCGGATACAGACAGGTGTTTCACTGTGTCGTACATCAGAACCTGAACTGCTGATATCACTAGCTGACACTTTTTATTGATCAAGTGACTCTGAATAACTAACTCATAGTTTTTGTTTACACTTTTTATTGATCAAGTGACTCTGAATAACTAACTCATAGTTTTTGTTTACCATCTGAGAGAGATTTGATTGTAGGGATTCCCGACTGTGAATCTAAAAATGGGCCCACAGCTATCTCTTTAGAGCAGACCCCAAAATAAATAATGAGTTTTCAATACTGTATAAACACTTTATTCTAATTTAGTATTTTTCCCTTAAAATACTGAAACAGTTTAAATCTTTTCACTGATGACATTTTTTAGAGTCAAAATGTGGATAAAACATTATGTAAAGAAACTTGATGTCTCTAAATTTTTATTACTACCACAAACTTCAAAAGTATGCAAAGAGAACCAAGGTTATATAACCACATTAGCAGTTTGTTTAGGGGCTGTCTAAATAATGCTGTGGTTGACTTTGCACAGCATTTATTTAATTAGCTTGTGTTGTGTGCTGTTCACACAAATACACACACATACAGACTAACCCCTGCATGGGTTTGCATACTCCATTTCTCACAGTTCACGCTCTTTTCATCAGCTTGTGCCACTCATAGCAGCAGCAGCAGCAGCAGCAGCAGCACTGCTGACTCCTTTGTCTGTGTGTATGCATATATGTGTGTGTGTGTGAAGCTATGAGTGTGAATGTAACTGCATGAGGGTGCGTCAGAGGAAAAAGGAAGTTGCGGGATGAAGTTAAAAGCCATCGACACAGTGCAGCCCTGCAGAACACCCACCACGGAAGAAAGGCAGAACGAGAGCGCCGAAGTCTGAAAATGAGATACTGAAAAGAAGACGAGGAGGTGAACACTGAGAAGAAAAGACACTGAACTGCCAGGACAAGCTACTGAGGGTGAGAGCTGCTTGTAATACTTCTTTGAAAGTTACAGTCTTCTGGTTGAGTTAGGGTTAGAGTTTAGCAGCAGTGGCCTTTTTCTTATGTTACCAAGTTTAAGTAATTTACCAAAAGGACAGGAGGAGACTGTAGGTCAACTGATTTGCTACCGATTTAGTTTGACTGATTAAATAATATTCAATACGTTCTATGAGTAAGTTTTTACTGAGAATGCTCTGTGACAAAGTGAGATTCAGAGATACTTCATATATGTCTCAGCAGGATTTTGTATGTGTGAATTCAGACATTGAACCCACCTCATGTCTATTCAGTGTGAACTCAACAAATGACAACACCTTTATCTAGCTTATCTAATCTACAGTATACCTGCCATTGATATCTATTCTGATTCTGTAATTATTCAGAAAAGATGGAACTGTGGCGGCAGTGTGCTATGTGGTTGATTGACTGCCGAGTTCTTCCTGAGAACCACCGGGTAACATGGGAGGGCGCACAGGTAAGTCAGCTGTGCCACATATATGCACACACCTGCACATCAACACAGTTCCCATTTCCTCAGTTTTAATTTTCTTTGTGTGTGGTGCTAGGTGTGCGACCTGGCTCAGGCTCTAAGAGATGGCGTGCTGCTCTGCCAGTTGCTCAACAACCTGCTACCTCACGCCGTCAACCTGAAAGAGATCAACCTGCGTCCACAGATGTCCCAGGTAGTGCACACACATGCAGACCCTTCCTTGCTTCATTTCCGTAGGGCGTTTTGATAGGTTTCCATAGCAATCAGCAGACAGCGCTGAAGTCCCCTGGCTGTCCATAGGACATATCTATCTATATGTGTCCACGTCCGGGAGTGTGTGTAGAATATGGAGGAGAGGATGATGGAGAAGCAACAGCTGGAAAGTGTTCAGAGAGGGAGTACCCTGCAACAAACAAACATCTTATCAAGTACATTTTGTCTGTTACTGACCTCAGAAAGCATTTAGCATTGTACATCTATGACAGCTTACATTTATAGTTGTAATAAAAGAATCATTATATCATTTATTTGCAAAGTAGTGATATACAATGACAGATTTCTTTCAATCAGTGGAGTCTAGTAGAGGGACAAATGCCGAAAATGTCTTATCTTACAAATTTGAAGGAATAATTACACAATTGGGAAACTACATGTTTGCACATTCTTGCCCAGATTTTGATGAGAAAACTGATGCATCACGATGCCTGTAATGATGGGTTTTCCCCAAAATGTCAGCATATTCCCTAACTCTTTATCTTTTTTTTTTTTTTTTATTCCTGGGTCAACTTAGATTCAGATCTACACCAGAAACAAATGACTTGTTGCTTGGATCCTGGCCAGTCTTTTTATCAAACTTTATTCAAATCTGTTCTTGTGTTGCTGTATCATCCTGTGCAAACACGCAATCAAACATTGACGGAAACAAAAATAAGATGGGTTGTACCTGATGGGACAGAGATGAAGACATGGGAAAGACAGAACAAGAGAGTCAGGCAATACCAGGCTGTCATGTGGTCACATGGTTGGTCTAAATCTCTCATGGGAAGACCTTGATACAGTGATTGTGTGTGTGTGCCAGTGCTAATTTGCACGTGTGATGTGAAACCTTGGGAAATCCCGTGAGGTCAAGTGTGGTTTCGAAACCACCAGTGACTAACAGGGGTCCACTCTGCTGTCTACACGCAAGCACACACACACACACACACACACACACACACACACACCTAGTGACATTACACAAGTAGAGGATCTTCCTTGTGCGCTTGCAATAAGATTTACTACAAAATGAGTTACTGCTACATGGGCTAGTACATGTAAATGCCTGTATGAATTCCTGAAGAAGTGATGTGATGTGTGCAGCAGTATCAGCCAGAACTCAACGTTTCCCCTTTTCTCAAATTAGAGTTCCGCATTATCCACTGCTGAACAGATAGAGAAGCAGAGAGAGAGAGAGAGAAAGAGAAGAGCTTCTTCAGGAAGTTGTGTAAAATGGCATTCGTCTGACCACCGTGTCAGTTGCACTTTGCTCTCAGTGCTCTGCCTTCTCTACTGCTTCTTGTAGTGCCACATTTGTATCACTTTTCTTGTGGTCTGTTAGTGGCAGATGAGTATTTACATACACTTTGATAACATTTTCTAGTGCAGCTGATTGTGTTTCTGTGTATGTGCCTTCTGCAGTTATTCTGTAAAGTTAATCATCTGCTAACTGAACACAGTAACAGGATGATAAACAATACTGAACTCACTATGTTCAGCAGTGTCTATCAAATATGTTAAATATGTCTTCTGTTGTTAGTAGTAGTAGTATACTGTGACAAAATATCAAGTTAAAAAATAAATCTGACATGTCTTCATATTGCTCATTTTGTCTGACTGACAGTCCAAAACATAAAAATATTCAGTTTACAGTAAAATAAAATAAAAATAGCAGCAGCTTCTTACATGTGAGACACTGCAATTGTGAAATGTTTGGCCAGTTTTATTAAATTATGAGGATTGTTGTCAATATTGAACTAACTGCTTTAACAAAGGCGTAGTTTGAAGAGTTTTTTCTTGTCTGAACTAACTAACAGTTTCAGCACTAAAGTAATGTAATATTTGTTTTCATTTGTTTTGTGTTTAGTTCCTCTGCCTGAAAAATATCCGGACGTTCCTGGGGGTTTGTCACGAGAGGTTTCATCTCAAGAAAAGTGAACTTTTTGAGGCCTTTGACCTGTTTGATGTTCGAGACTTTGCAAAGGTATCGCCACATCTGTCTGTGTATCCATCCATCTAATACAGTGCATTGATTATGGCATTGTGTACCTATATTCTAGTCATTACAGTTGAAGTGAGAAGCATGAACAGATTCCACCTGACTCCACACTGCAGCTTACAGACAGCCACATACCACTAACAGGAAGAAGCATGGTGATTTTCTAATTGAAGCGGCTAAGTGAAGGCAAGAATTCAGTACTTCTCAGTTCTCTTTCACTTTCAGTGCAGTGCAGCCACAACACTGAGTAGCAGGAGATTTGAAATGTGCATGCAAAATAAGAGGAAGCAGAGTTGATAAAAAAAAAACCAAATGAGTCAACAGGAGGAGGAACCCTGATCCTGAACCCAACTCTGGGGTCTCATTTACATAGGGTGCTCCTGTCACTGAGCTTCTCCTTTCACGGTACTGCTTCCAGGCAGTCATGCACTTCATTGAACTGAAGTAAACACAGCTGTGTTGCAATCTATACTGTGCCATTTACAGTGGTAAAATCAGCATTCACTTACTGCTTTTCTTGCTTCATAGTAATACCACACTGTAAAAATACTCCATTACAAGTCCTGAAATCAAAATTTAAATAAATGACTTTATCAAATGTAAACATCATATCTGAGAAAACTGGCCCATGTACAGTAAGTGGCACACTGTACGTTGAAGGTGTATTGTACTTTCTTTTTTTTTGATAATTTTATCTGTTTCGGCCACTAACAGTTAATTAAATTAAATCTTATGAGAAGTTTAGAGGAAATGTCTCTTTGGTAGAACAGGTAAAAATGAGGGACCACTACATTTTCAGGGTCTCAAGCCAAAACGTTCAGGAACCGCACACTGAAACTTTAACAATGTGTTGTATTTTATGTGGTTATCATGTGTTCATAATATAAAATCTGAAAAATAATAAATAAAATAACTATAACTGACAGATAAAAGTAGTGGCGTAAAAGTATAATATTTCCATTTCAAATGTAGAAATGTAAAGTGCATAAAATAATAATTAAGTTAGCATTGTACTTTGGTACAGTACTTTCCTCCACAGATGAGTGTTTACTGATGTTACGGAGGAACCACATTTACTCTACTTTACTGTGTTGGCCTCAGAAATGGAGATGGTATCATCAGAATAAAATCACGCAGGAATGGTTATGTCCGCTTTTATGAATTCTGCTTCCACTTATTTGTTTTTTGGTAGAAAGACAGATGAGATGATTGATACCTCTCTCTTGTCTGTGTTAAACACGAACCTTCAACCAGCAGCTGGTTATCTTAGAATAGCACAGAAACTGGAAGGAGGAAAAGGCAAAACTAATCTAAGCTTTAGAGGCTCTGGCAGGTGGATTTTGGATGGAGCCAAGCTACATGTAACTGTTTTCCCCCGTGTCAAATCAAATCAAATCAAATTTTATTTGTATAGCGCCAAATCACAACAAAAGTCATCTCAGGACACTTTACATAGTAAGGTCTAGACCTTACTGTTATCAATATTATTACATAGGGAAAACCCAACAAAGGCTCGGTGATGGGTGCTGAAATCACAGGGGATTGTTCTACTACAGAAGTTTCAGGCAAAGCATTTCTCACATGGTTTAACACTTTATTTATGCAGACTGGATTTCCAGACATTTGAGCTCTGACAGCTGAAAACATAAAAAAAAAAAAAAAATCAACTGGACTTGGTTTTAGGTAGAAGACGTTTCACCTCTCATCCAAGAGGCTTCATCAGTTCTGTCCAACTGGTGGTGAGCAGGAGGTATTTATCACCCTGGGTGTTCCAGTCCTTTGGTGGCCCACAATGTCCTCTAACAACTCAATCATTAGGGTCCGGTTTTGGTGAGCGTCGTTACCTGTCTTTGAACCCTCACCTGTGGACCGACGCCTGTTGTCCTGGTGGGCATGTTTGGGCAGAGATCTCAAAACAGAGTTGTAGATGGGTGAAAAGTTGTGTCTTAGTCCACCACCCTCATTTAGTGAGGGGTGTTCTATTTGGACAAAAATGAACATGAAACATCTTCTACCTACCAGTTGATTTTTTCTACGTTTTTTCAGCTTACCATGACCTGGATGACTAAGAATCTGTACAGACATGTTGCTACTCACTTTGGGAAGGTACTTAGGAAGTGCTTTGTTAGGATGATAAGGCTCTACGAGGTCTTTAAGATATGATGGAGCCTTGTCATTAAGGGCTTTGTATGTTAGGAGAAGGATTTTGAATTCTATTCTGAATTTTACAGGGAGCCAGTGGAGAGAAGCTAATATGGGAGAGATATGATCTCTCTTGCTAATATCTGTCAGTACTCTTGCTGCAGCATTTTGGATTAACTGGAGGCTTTTTAGGGAACTATTGGGACATCCTGATAGTAAAGAGTTACAGTAGTCCAGCCTGGAAGTAACAAATGCATGGACCAGTTTTTCAGCATCACTTTGAGACAGGATGCTCCTGATTTTTGCAATATTGCGCAGGTGAAAGAAGGCAGATCTAGAGACTTGTTTTATGTGTGATTTAAAGGACACATTCTGATCAAAGATGACTCCAAGGTTCCTCACAGTAGTACTGGAGGCAAGAGCTATGTCATCTAAAGTAACTATATGATTAGACAGCAGATTTCTAAGGTTTTCAGGCCCAAGCACAATAACTTCAGTTTTGTCAGAGTTTAGAAGTAAGAAGGTGCAGGTCATCCAGGCCTTTATGTCTTTAAGACATGCCTGAAGTTTGACCAGCTGACCTGATTCATTTGGCTTCATAGATAAATATAACTGAGTATCATCTGCATAGAAATGGAAATTTATGTTGTGCTTCCTGATAATATTGCCTAAAGGGAGCATGTATAAAGTGAAGAGAATTGGACCTAACACAGAGCCCTGTGGAACACCGTGACTAACTTCAGTTTGTGTGGAACATTCGTCATTAACATGAACAAATTGAAATCTTTCTGATAAATAAGATTTCAACCAACTTAGCGCAGTTCCTTTAATCCCAATAACATGTTCAAGTCTCTGCAGTAAGATGCTGTGATCAATGGTGTCAAAAGCAGCACTGAGATCTAAGAGGACAAGTATGGAGACAAGTCCTTTGTCCGAGGCTAGCAGAAGATCATTGGTGACTTTCACCAATGCGGTTTCTGTACTATGATGGACTCTAAATCCTGACTGAAAATCCTCAAACAAATCATTCTTGTGCAAGTGGTCACATAACTGCTTTGCAACAGCTTTTTCAAGGATTTTGGAAATAAATGGGAGATTGGATATTGGTCTATAATTAGCTAGGACACCTGGGTCAAGAGTAGGCTTTTTGAGTAGAGGTTTAATTACTGCAAGTTTAAAAGCCTGTGGAACATAACCTGTTAATAGAGAGAGGTTAATCAGATCTAGTATGGATGTGTTGATTAGGGGAAAGACGTCTTTGAGCAGCCTGGTCGGGATGGGGTCCAGGAGACATGTTGATGATTTAGATGAAGCAATTGTTGAGGTCAACTCAGAGAGATCTATAGGGGAGAAGTAGTCCAAGTATAAATGAGGTCTTACAGATGTTTCTAAAGACGTTGTAGTAGATGGCACATCTGTGAGAGCTGTGGGAGTGGTCCGACCAATTTTTTTCTCTAATAGTTGTGATTTTATTTGTAAAGAAGCTCATGAAGTCATTGCTGCTGAGATCTAAGGGAATGTTAAGCTCAACAGCACTGTGGCTCTTTGTCAGCCTGGCTACAGTGCTGAAAAGAAACCTGGGGTTGTTCTTATTTTCCTCAATCAGTGATGAATAAAATGCGGTTCTGGCACTATGAAGGGCTTTCTTATATGTTATTAAACTATCTTTCCAGGCTATGAAAAACTCTTCTGACTTAGTGGAGCGCCACCTCCTTTCCATTTTTCGTGATGCCTGCTTTAGGGAGCGGAGCTGCGAGCTGTACCACGGGGCTAGCCTCCTCTGTTTCACTGCCTTCTTTTTCAGAGGGGCAATGGTATCAAGTGTATTACGCAGGAAGGCAGTCTTTATGCTGTGCTAAGCTAACCAGCTACCATCTGTAGGTCCATATCATCCAATGTAAAAACGATGGACAGGCTAACAGCTCCCAGAAGTGAAGCCATTGTGACCACGGTATAGGCCATATATAGCGACTCCTCCGTGTTAGCAAGAGCCAAACTAAAAACTCAAAATACAAATCAGATACATTTTTCCCAGAGGTCATTTCTGTGGGTTTTGGTAGATATTATCATGCTGATGTGTGCACAAGTGGTATTATTTCTTGTAATGTTGTTTTTAATATGTTCTTTAATGCTATAAAAAGAGGATTTGAATTGACTGACAGTCCTATACTGTCACTCCACTTGTGGTCACTACTGCACACAGCCTGGTTGCAAAAAAGCAAGATGGCAGCCACCGTATTCATGCTTTTTTGGCTTCATTTTTGCTTAGTGGAGAGACGTGGTGATGCCATGCCCACTGTATATATGTCAGTAGTTTGTATTTAACAGACAGATATGAGAATGATGAAGATCTTTTGATCTACCTGTTTTGCCAGAAAGTAAATTAATGGATTTCTATGTCACAATCTCAGAGAGACTTCCTGTTGTTATGTTCTTATTTGACACACTTCACTGCCTTATTCCCTCATCCTATCCACCTTTATTCATCTGTTTTCAACAAACAATTGGGTCTACTTTGTATTTAAGCCAGACACTCAGACTCCATAGTTGTTAGATTGTTATCAGTCATTCATCCAGGAGCAATTGCTTTTTTTGTCAGATTTCCGTTGTTTTATGTGGACTATGCTCTCTTGTTACCCCCAGTGGACACTCTTCTTTTTCAACTATTTCTCTGAAGTCTTCTTCTAAAGACAGGCTGTAAATTTGTACAGTCAGATGTTTCGTCTCTGAACTTCTGCTTCACACTTTCACTTCTTGATAGATCATTCATCTTCTCTGTCTTTTGAAGGAAATAGAGATCAGACAAAAACTTTCGGCAGTAGATAAATGTAAGAAATGTGCCCTTTACTTTATTGTGTATTTACTTTGCGTCAACATGTGTAATGAGTGGCCCATCTTTTTTATGAAAGAAAAGAACCACAGTTCAGTAGGAGGCATGTTTTGAATCTTTATGTTTCTCATTGCAACACTAGAGACAGTTTCAACTAAAGCAGGAGTCAAATGTGATTTTGGAGAGTGAACAGTAAAAATGTCCAAGGAACTAAACTTCCATTATATCAAAATGTATAATAAAACACTGAAAATGTGACACTCAGTCCATGGTACTTAGGCAGAGCTATTAGAGCTCCCTGACATGTGTTAATCAGACATGACAATGTGCTGTGTGTTTGTTTCTAATCATATCTCTCATGACATTGGCACTCTCAGATCACTCATCATGATATTTCATTTTTCGCTTACATAGCCAGAGTCAGTGTGAAACCAGGTCAGAGGGGAATTATTCAGCGTTACTGTTTCTCAGTTTTTCTCTCCAAGCCTGTCTCACACTGTATAGACTATAGTAACTCTGTGCCTCTGTCTGTGTGTTTGTGTGCGACAGGTCATCGACACGTTGTCCATCCTGTCCCATTCATCGATTGCATTACAAAGAGGACTCCAGTAAGTGTTTTCTTTCCTCTTTTGCATGGAGGTCTTAGTGTTTAAACTACTAAACATACATATGATAAATGATTTATTTTACACTATACAATACAAACCTTATAATGTAGTTGAAAGCACATATGTGTTCATTTTAACAGAGCCCATGCTCTTTCTGACTTATCTATAATGTTAAAACAGTGAATTATCATCTTAGATGTGACATAAAGCTCAAATTTGAGGTGTACCTATGTTCCATTACTTCTATACAGACGCAACTTGGTTTATACAAGTCCCACAAACTCTCACTTGCGAGACTTTTTTCTAACAAAGTAAAAGTATTACGTGATAGTTTAAGGATTTCCTTGAATGGGCATAATCTCCAGGCATTTGCACACTTGTGAGCTTGCCTGACATCCACTGTGTCATTGTAAAAGCAGAATTTTTCGACTGCGCCTGGTTTTGTGGATATATTTTACCTTCTGCTGCTGCACTGTAACCAGAGGATCTGGAGAAAAATACAGGGCCTGAGGTTACTGCATGTCCGGGAATGTTCCTGTACAGGGACTCGCTGTTTTACCTGACCAGGTCTACACCTACAAGCAGCCAGCCTGTGAAGACCCTGCGGCATTTAATGACCAGCTCATCAGCTCTGGATTCCCCCGGAGCACAGTATCTGTTTGTTTTGACTCCTTGAGGCCAGTGTGCCACATGTGATGCACAGCGGATTAACGATACATGTTGCTGTTGGTGCTACGCTACCTGTTGGAATTAATTTCACTACTTTGGGACTGTATGTGGTCGTGTGGGGAAGACACAGCGACCACCATTTGGATTTACCGACCTTGGAGCTTTAAAGGGAATGATGTTTCTACTACTCGGTGGGACTTAATCGTAATTTTCAAAAAACACACCTTGCATATCTGTTAACATCTTGTTTCTGTAACGTTAGACAGAAGTGTTGTAAGATTAAAGGGAATGATGTTTCTACTACTCGGTGGGACTTAATCGTAATTTTCAAAAAACACACCTTGCATATCTGTTAACATCTTGTTTCTGTAACGTTAGACAGAAGTGTTGTAAGGCTGGAGAAGTTACTATGTCTGCATTTTGTCAGTTAAAATATGGGTTTTTCAACTACCTGCTTTGTTTAGAGTGTTCCACATCTCTTTTCATCAGTATATATATCATTGCTTACCTATCTATGGAAGGGAAATTCAATTCGGCCCTTGCGGTTGGTTGTGCTGTTCACTTTCGACATTAATTAATTAATGCCCTTGTGGTTGGTTGTGCTGTTCACTTTCGACATAACACAGGAGTTGTGCGCATTTACGAACTATCCTCTCGTTTTTAGGAAGATGCTCTCTGGTTTTATCACTCTGAAATAATTACAGACTATTTGGAGCTATGAGGGATACAAAGCTAATCTAGAGTTACCCAAGATTAAACATTAAATGGCTGGAAATGAGCAAAATGAACATGCCATGGGCTCTTTAACTGTTTATGAGTGTACAGTATTTGACACATTTTATAAACCATTTGTGAAATGTAACCTTTCTTTCCTGCTCCAGGCCTTTTCCTTTGGAAGGATGCACTCCTGATGAGGAGATCTACAGTGGCCTGTCTGACCAGATAGAGTAAGCATATTTTTTGTTTGTTTGTTTTGAAAATGTTATGGTGATAAACTTGAGTAAGCAGACAGGTAGTCCCAAAAAACAAAACAAAAGAACCTGGGTCCATCCTGTCCTGTTTTTCTACTGTCCCTGCTGTAGTTACACCAATGATGCACCTTCCCTAACACATACATGCATAGCGTGCCTTTTTCCTTTGTTTGGTGTTGTTGTCCTGCACCTGTATCTATGTACGGCTGCATGTGCACACTATCAGCCTTCAGTGCTGTAGGTTTAAACTTGTCATTCATATACAGACAGGAGATGTTAAGAGGACTGGGTAAAAAAATCAATTTTGTGAGCAATCATAATCTTAAACTTCAAAGATTGATCCATGCTTCTCAGCCTTTTCTCACTGAATATTTGTACATTTGTGGTTCCCCATTATTATCAAAGGCAAAACAACATCAGGATGGAAATAATGTGTGCATGTTATGTTTATCAGTGACACAGTGGACGAAGATGACGACCTGTATGACTTTGTGGAGGACGAGGAGAACGAAGGGGATGAAATCTATGAAGACTTGATGAGGACGGATGAACCGCGTGAAACTGTAAATGGACAGCACACAACATTAGAGCTCAAACTAAAGGGAAGGTTCAGATGGTCGTGGTAGAAGAGCTTTGTGGGCCTGTCACTTGAAATGTTTTGATACTAGTGCCTCTTTTACACAGTACCTGACTTCTAAGTACTTTTTTTATGCCATGTTTTGAGAAATGTATTTGAAAAGCCAAACTTCTCTTGTATTGTATTGTATTTTATGTAGCAGAAATATATTTCTGCTTTCCTATGCTGTTATTCATCCCTGGAGCCCTCACATTTATTTTGGAACTTTGTGTGGATGTTATGACCCCCCCAGGGTGGAAACCACTGATAAACCACCCAGAGTTGCGCAGAGATTTTTGCAGGGTGTCTCCGTCTGCAGACAAAAGCCCTATCTAGGGAAGGCATTGTGTGTAAATGTCACCCAGCTAGGCACAGTCTGGCTATGGAGTCTCTGTTGTGGCTGATGTAAATTAGGCTTCAGAAGAGTCCGGATTAAAAATGTGGCCTTGGTGCAAACATTCGTTAATGCTTTTTTTAAGGAAATGCCACTGAAATTAAGGAAGCTCCAATATATAAAATTATTGTTGTATCACTTCTGCAGTTTTTCTTGTCAGATATTTACAGTGTGCATCAATTGGACTTGAGTTTCCACTGTATTCTGTGTGAGAAAAATGAACAAAATCCTTCCTAAAACATCTAAAACTGCAGCCTCAAGCAGCAGAAAGTCTAAATATCATCTCACTTGTTGTGTGTGTGTTTGTGCAGCAGCCGAAGACTGGCATAGACAAACGAGAGTGCTGCCTGCAGGAGATCAGACAGACAGAAGAGAAATACTCTGATACACTGGAATCTATATTACAGGTGTGCACACATCCTCAGTCTCAATATTCTTGCTTTTACACAAACCACATGCCACAGTAACAGTAACATCTATGGCTTCTCTTCTGTGCAGCACTTTATGAAGCCTCTTGAAAGGTTTCTTCAGTCTGGAGACATTGAGAGTATCTTCATCAATATAAAGGTATGGGAGGAGATTAACTACACATCTGGCTGTGTGTACAGGTTTACCCTAATGTAACAGCCTTGTCTGCGTGTTTTGTGTGTGTGTGTGTGTAGGAGTTGGCTGTCATCCATCATAAATTGTTGGAGGAGGTTCGGAGCTCTATCCTAAGTTATGGTGCCAAAAATCTCTACCAGGTGTTTATTAACTACAAGGAGAGGTACATAGCACAGCCAGTGTTTCTGTTATCAAAAATACTGCGAATACATGTGTGTTGTAATCTGGTTTTTAAAATTCTTCCGTCCCTCAGGCTCTTACTGTATGGTCGTTACTGTAGTCAGGTGGAAATGGCAACAAAACGCCTCGATGAGATTTCTAATGCGAGGGAAGACGTCAGGATGAAACTGGAGGTGAGGACCATGCATAGTTTCAAAAACGGGATGTGTGATTTTGCGCTCAAAGTTACATGTTGACAGATATACCATAAGTGACACGTAATGAGCAGTTAACTTCATAGTTTAAGGTACAAACTTCTGCCAATTCAGTCTGAACTTAAGACAGAGTCATTGAAGTCATCCCAGATCAGCCCGGCCCTACTGAACTCAACAGGCAGTGTGAGATGGTGGGAAACACTGACATATATATGATGGACATGGCGTCACCACTTCCCTGGTGTTTTTTGTTCCTGCATTGTGCGGCCCACATTAACGTCTTTGAGTAGCTTTGACTAATATTAAAACTTTATGGTTCAAACATTTATAAGAGAAAGGGTATAATTGACTTTATGTGCTGGCTGAGGTTGCCTGTGAACAGCTGCAGCTTTTATGATGGCGGTCTACAGCAGAAATGCTTTCTGGGCCACCACTAAGTATTGATACTAGTGACACGATGGCTTATTTAGAATATCAATATTAATATATGAGTTGGTTACATGTTAAATCACAAACTGGGCACAAGAAAATTGTTCTTAGTGCTGCAGTGTTTGTATCTCTGCTGCTGTTGGGTGTGCAGTGATGGTCCCTTTAGTGCAGAGAAGTCACATAATGAACATTTATTTAACATTAAAATCTGACCTATGGTGGTAATTAAAATCTATCCAGAAATAGTGCATTTTCACATTCATCTCATAGATTATAATGTATTTCTCCCCCTTACATATACAGTATATTATTAGTTGGTTTTAACAGTACAAAGCAGGGGTTTTCAACCAGTGGTCTACAATGGTATTGCAGGTGGTCCCTGAACATGCATTTAACAGTGTAGTTTCTTTGTAGTATTTTACTGATTTTACTGATTTTACTGAAATCAATGGTGGACTTTTCAGTACATAATTTAGCCAGCAGGTCTGCCATGTGAAATCCTCTTAGCACAACTGCAGCAAACTGCAGATGTTCACTACCTTCTGTTTTGTTTTTGTTTTTTTTCAGGAGTGTTCAAAGAGAGCCAATAATGGACGTTTTACTCTCAGAGATTTACTGATGGTCCCCATGCAGAGAGTACTCAAATATCACCTGCTGTTACAGGTATGTTTGCATGAGCTTTCTGTTTCAGACAGTTTTACACAGCACTTGTAATTTGATGTGTTTTGTGTGTGTGTGTGTTTGCAGGAGTTGGTGAAACACACCACTGACCCAACAGAAAAGGACAACCTCCGTATAGCTCTTGATGCCATGCGAGTAAGTGTGTGTATGTGCGTTTATGTCAGTCACTCTCTTAAATTCATGATATTTAAACATCTGTCCATTTGTCTTTGTGTGTGTTCACAGGACTTGGCGCAGTGTGTGAATGAGGTGAAGCGAGACAACGAGATCATCAGGCAGATCACCTCCTTCCAGTTGTCCATAGAGAACATGGTGAGGTCACTGTTTTCTTTTTAATATATTTCTTTTTGCTAGTTATTTTGTGTATTTACTGTGTATTCTCCTCTGCTCTTTAGACTCAGTCTCTAGGTCTTTTTGGTCGCCCCAAGATCGACGGGGAGCTAAAGATCTGCAGCTCGGAGAAAAAGTCTAAACAGGACAGGTGTGTGTCATTTATGTCTCAGTGCACTTGTCACCTGTTAATGCCGTGGATCTGAGCCTGTGTTGCATCTGTGCGTGATTTTCTGTTTGTCAGGTATGCATTCCTGTTTGATAAGGCCATGTTTGTATGCAAGAAGAAGAGTGGAGAGACTTTTGAGCTAAAGGAGATTATTGAACTACAGCACTACCAGATACGAGATGAACCCACAGGAGAGAAGGACAAAAAAAAGGTCTTCTTCTATGCTTCCTTCACTCTTTATCACCACATCACCAATTATACCAGATAACCAGGTATACCATCAGGTGTCCATAAGGCTGACTGTGTGTTTGTGTGTCAACAGTGGTCCTACTTTTTCCTTCTTTTAAACTGCTATGGGAGGTGTGGGTATGATTTATTCTTCAAAACCAGAGAACTGAAGAAGAAATGGCTGGAACAGTTTGAGATGGCTCTGTGAGTTACCATACACCCATGCACACATGGAAATGCGCTGAATCTTTGCCACAAATTAGAGTGAAGAGGGTTGTTTTGCCTTGATTCAGTAATTTCATACTGGCACAGCAGTAACTTACTGATTTTGCTGTTTTTATTGACTTTTCTAAAGCCTATAATCAGTATTTTCATATTAAAAATCAATTAAATGGATGTATCATGTGACATAAGCTGCTTGTAGTGACGACCTACAGAGAGGTATCACCAGGCTCTGCACTTCCCCTTTGCTTGGAGCTTTTTAGTGAGTTTCAGTTCACTGTTTTGGTATACAGGCTCACATCTTAACAGTCTGGTTCATTCTTACCACTCTCATATGGATATTTTCAGCCACAGCAGGCAGTAAAGAAGCCCTGACAAAGCCACTGTGCAATACCTGCAGAGCACCAAACATGAAACAAACAAAACACAGTTACTAGCTGGTGAAAGTAGTGGAGCAGTTAGCAGCTAAGGAGACAGATATTTACCCAGGAGCTGATGAAAAACAAAAACAGAGCTAAAAAAAATAATTAAAAAAACAAAAGTAATAATGGACTTAAGGTATAAAGTCAATGATGTTTTAGTTTTAAAATTCTTCTTTCCCCAAACAAACAACCGAGAAAAAAAATTACACATTTTCAAATAAATAATTTACAAGATGTATCAAAGTAACAATAACAAAGCAACAGAGTAGCCAGTATCATATATTCCAGTCAGACTCCTTCCCTAGAATCCTAGAGACTCAGTTGTTCAAAAATGAGGAAGCCATGCTTTCAAGAAGTCTTCCTCTTCACAATGAATCAAGTGGAATATAACTAGAGATTTTATTTAGCCAGTGTGAGATTGTAGGTTCATGTTTAGACTTCCAGTTAATTGCTATACATTTCCTTGCAGCTAGAAGTGCGAGAGCAATGTACACAGGAGAAAGTGAACTGAGTAAGTTTAGGTCACTCTAGACAGACACTGATTTGAGTTATGCTTTTGTGTTACAGTTTTGATAAATGCTCAGCTATACAGGAAATGAACAGAGATTTCTTAATTATGCTACTTGCAATGTACTTGCAGTAAAGTGTTGGCTTCTTCAGTCTTAGGAATACCAAACAGATGCTCTTTTGGCTTCCATGAAAGTCCAGCTACAGCACCTGCCAGAATTAAAACTGAATACTTGGTTCCCTGGCTTTGGTCCAGACAGCTGTACTTTATGGTTGCAGGTCAAATGTGTGTCCAGAGAACTCCACAGCCAACAACCATGACTTCCAGATGAACTGCTTTGAGGAGACCACCTGCTGCAAGGTGTGCTCGATGCTGTTAAGGTACTGTTGTCTCACTAGCAGTTTCTCTCAGCTTCTTTCTTAGCTCCAATTTCAAAAGAAAAAGGCATGGAAGACTTTTCTGCTGAGGCTAAATCTCCATCTGTTGTTTGCAGAGGAACATTTTTCCAGGGCTATCTCTGCACTCGGTGTAAAATGGCTGCACATAAAGAGTGTTTAGGCAGAGTCCCTCCCTGCGGACGCAACTCAGGTCTGTGCACATGCATGTGAATGCCTTTAATACTACTTCTGATCCGCATAATTATCATAATGTGGTGTCATTTTCAGTTAATTACATTGACTGTCCTTTTGAAATTACAGACCATACCGGTACTATGAGGAAGGTAAGACTACATTTATCTTTTACATTATGGATGTTTTATATCATTCAGGTAAAAGTGATGGCACATGTCCTCTCCCTTTACACTAGTTTATGTCCTTTTTTTAATTTAACTTGTGCAAACAGATTGGTGATCAACGATTAATGGGTCAGCCAATTAATCGGGTAGATTTTGAGAATTTTTAGGTGATTGGGAAACCCATACTGGTCGACCATTAAAACAGATCAAACTTTAGTTCTGATTGTTCCTCTTCCTCTGTCTTTTCTTCCTCCAGAATAAACCGCAGAGGTCCCCCAGACATTCCAGCATTGGTAAGAAATTCATGATATAGTGGTTTAAACAGCACATTTTTTACTCAGTGTTCATGTTTATCTCCAAAACAAACTCCTAATTATTCATGACTAAATTAAATATGTGATGGAATTAAAAGTGCTTGCCTGTCAGGTCTCCCTGCTAACATCTCTCCATTTTCCTCGCTCTTTCTTTCAGGATTTCCTAAGATGGAGGCACATCAGGAGTACTTTGGCATACCGCCACCTCCCGTGGGCTTTGGCCAACCACTTCACCTTTCCAAAGGTGACATTGTTGAGCTGACCCGGGCTGAAGCTGACCTGGCCTGGTGGGAGGTAACCAAAGAACCGGCATATTCACCCGTTCTGAAAACTCAGGGGGTCATGCATGATCTGGTTGTTTCCTGTGGTTTATGTGTAGGTGTGAGACGCTTTTGTCTTTTTCAGCCTTTTTTTGCCATTTTTCTTTCTGCATCTCGTTCTCTATCTTTCACTTTGCCCCTCGTGCCCACTCTGCACTTCTGTCTGTCTGCAGTCTATTGTGTGATTCATTCGAAGGGATTACAAAATAAGCAAGCAAGCAAAGTTTATTTATATAGCACCTTTCTAAACCTGCGTTACAAGGTGCTTTCCAGTAAAACATAAACAAATAATAATAATAAAGATACCTAAGACCAGATAAAACACATCTATACAGTAAAATAACAAGAAAAATACATAGTCAAAACAAATACATCAATCAATAAAATTGTCGAAGGCCCGTGAATACAAATGCATTTTAAGAAGTGATTTAAAAATAGACAGGTTCGGAGCAGATCTAATCTCCCGTGGCAGACCATTCCACAGTATAGGAGCCCGAACTGAAAAAGCTTGGTCTCCCCAATGTTTCCATCTGGACTTTGGCACTTCCAGGAACAACTGGTTCGAAGACCTAAGTGTCCTTTCTGGAGTATAAAAGCGCACAAGCTCAGAAATATATGAAGGCGCCAGACCATGTACAGCCTTATAGACAAACATCAACAATTTAAAATCAATCCGAAAACGAACAGGAAGCCAATGTAGAGAGGCAAGAACTGGAGTGATATGCTCATGGCGCCGCGTATTAGTTTAAAGACGAGCTGCTGCATTTTGGACCAACTGTAGTCGGACAATAAGGTTTGAGAAATGCCAGTATACAGTGCTTTACAATAATCTAGTCTAGTGCTAATAAAGGCATGAATTGCCTTTTCAAAATCACTAAAAGAAAGAAAGTGTTTAACCTTAGCCAAAAGTCTCAATTGAAAAAAATTGGCTTTAACTACAGACTTTATCTGTTCGTCCAGTTTAAGAGCATCATCAAATACCACCCCAAGATTTCTCACATGAGGCCTCAGGTAGGAGGCCAAAAAACTAGGAATATCAGAACCAGTGACACCAGAGTTACCAATTACAACACATTCTGTCTTACTTTCATTAATATGTAAGAAGTTATGTGATAACCATGCCTTAATGTCCCTCAGGCAATCCATCAAGGTCTGAAATGAGTTGCTCTTTTTGACATTCAATGG